TTGTTTTTAAATACAAACAAGAAACTTTAACAAAGATAGATACCATTCGTTACGGGAGGTTGTCCAGCAATGTTATCGACTAGCCTTGTTGTCAAAGGACCAGGATTCATGAACGAAATGGACCGAATTTCATGACGTATGGCTTCTAATTGGGCCATTGTGTCTTGCAGTTCTTTATGAACCTGTCACATTATCACTAATGCTGATTTATTCAAAGAGCATTCATGTCAAACGAGTAAATACATATCAACACGAGTGTTATTCTGTCGTTTTTCACAAGGATATACAGGAAAGTTAAAATCAAAAGAATATAAAAAAACATCATCTTGAACACCTAAATCAAGAAGCAAAAGCTAATTAATCGCAGCACAAAACATCAATTTCATCACAAACACTCAAACAGCCACGTCGCCGATCAGATTAGGGCAAATGGCTAATAGGAAAATCATACACACAAAAAAACTAAATAAAACAATAAACCTGGCGAGCTTGAGATTGCTGCATAACGCTTTCGAATTGGCCACGCGTCACCTGAACATATCCAATTGCTCGACCAGCTAATCTCCCAGCTGTTCTAGCTATAACAGGAAGATCCTTTGGACCTAATTTTACAGTAATATGTCCAATTATCAGATTTTCGCACACAACCACAGATCAAATAAATTTTTGAGCATAAATGCAAATCCGCTCATCATTAGCAGACAAACCTAGAATACGAACACGAAATCCAAAAACAAAATGGCGCAAACAAGCAACGAGATCACATTTGTAGAAAAAATACTGAAAGCGGTACCGATGAGAGCAGCCGCAGCTCCTAAGATGAGGAAGAGTTCTCCATATGAAATCCCGAGCATCCTTCGCCGGAGAAGTTAATCTTTGATTGGGTGCACTGCACTTCTTTGATAGATTGAATGTAGGGAAAACTGATTTTTGTTCGAATAGGCAGAAGTTATTGATTTAAATCCCTCCTCTTATATAACGCAGAGTTCCCCTAGTTGTGTAAATTGTGTTGTCTTTTGTATTACAACGATTTTATAGGGGTTTTTTATTTTATATGTACCTTTTTTTTTTTAATTTGAAAATGCTTCTTAGCACTTTAATATTATAAAATATTTGTATAACTTAACCTATAAATATATTTTAAATTTTAAAAAAATTGAATTTGATCAACTATATATATATATATAATATCAAAATAATAAAAACTTTAACGATATCGACATTTACAAGCTGAGTTTTATGGGTGTATTGTATTATTTTAAATATAAATAATAATATAAATTTTTTGAAAAGTATTTAAATTTTCAAAATAAGATATCTTATTTATAGATTTAAATTTTTTTAAACAAATTTCTTAATCAACACCCGTAATGCACATGTTATTGTAAATTTAAAATAATAAAATTCATAGCACATACTATATAATATACTTTAATTTATTTTCTCTTAAATTTCACTATTATAACTGAAAATTTGAGCGCTTGGAGGTTATCAATCAACGTGCCAGAACCGTGACTTTTGCTCCTTTCTCTTTTTTGTTTCAATCTCTTCCTTTTGTTTCGAGCCGTTTTTGTGTTTCTCTTACCATTGGTTCTCTTGGGTTTCATCTCTAGCTTACCCCGACTTGTTTTGGACTAAAGGCTATGTTGTTGTTGTTATTTTCTCTAAAATTTTACTATTATAATTAAAATTTTAAATAAAATAAAATATCATTTTATATTTTGTAGAAATAACATATTTTTATATATTTTTAAATATTATCCAACCACTCACTGATCATTTAATTTGACATTTCCATTTACATTTACATTCCTACCTTATGTCCATTCATTATTTCAAATTTATTTCAATTCTTCTAGAAAACTACTTTTCAAGATCCACAACATGTAAAACAGGTAATCTATCAATCTATGCGCTTTGTCAGAAATTGAGACCTTCTATTAATTTCTTACAGCTCCAAATTGAAGACCAAACCAACCGCCATATCCAAACAAGAACACATATAGCAAATTTTTTTCCAAAGAAAATTCACACTTGCAAAAAAAAAAATAAAACAATTACTATAAATATAACAAGCAGCCAATGAGCATATTCCACTGTCTCAGCCCTTAACATTCAAACACAAATACTGCACTTATTCAATATGTATGCTCAAACAAATATCATCTTCTGTACTTGAGATCCCAAAAACCAAAGGATCATGCGAACAGAAGTATCCTAGCTTATAAAAACGAGGCAGAAGAAAGTCTAAGACGTGAGCTTTCTCGAACAATCACTCAACGCCTTCCGGAAGCTACCGATTCTGTCGAAAAAAGGTACTTCACCCTCGAAAGAACAGAGTCGTGTGCAGGATCATAAGGATGGTCCTTTGATGGGATCTCCAAGATTGCAGGGATTGGCTTGTTATAGTTATCGACAAGAAACCGTATCATATTTGCAACCTGAATTAAATAAACAATGCAAAAGAGTTAATTGATTTCAACGAGGTATGGTCCATATCTATCGTACATACAATTAAGAGATACCTTAAATTTTGAAAAAATTAATGATAAAAAATGGCAAACAAAATTGTTATATTTCAGAAATGCGAAAGCATCCCATTCGAGGGGTCTTCATTTACCCGATATAAGTGGAGGAGGCTGATCTCACAAAAAAACATACCATCATGAGAAATTATTAAACCCTTGAGAAAAAACTGATCTCACAAAAGAAAAAAGGTGAAAACATACAAATTGGCTGATGAGCAAGACTGCAATGTCTTCTCTTGTTGTGAATTCTTTGAAGGCATCTTCAATCTGATTCACCGTGGATTCTAAAAATCAAAAAACAGGAAATTTAAATGTGCCAGAGGCAAGAAATTGCATAATCTCAATACCCGATCACTTTAATCACCAGATATTTTTCACGATAGATTAAATGAACGCGAACTAAATCTCGTCCGGTCCATTTTCTGGATCTAAAGTAGGATTCAAGTGGCCAGCATAAAAAAAATTGCGTCTGATAAGAGCAAATTTACTTCAACATAAATGTATGACCCCACCAAATTATCAAATATCAACAAGATCGTAGTTTTGTGTTCCACAAGCCTCTACCCTCAAAAGGTTAAAACTTGTAATTCTCCAAATTTCAGACCATTTCACGTACTTGTAATTCTCCAATTTATGTTCTAACATATGAAATGGGAGTTTTTACAAATTTATGCTCCAACATATGAAACAGATGAGTTCAAGAAATAGGGGTATTTCGTACTTGAGTCGACAATGAGGTAATTTGTTTTCCTCCTCAAATCAACATTACCAACTCCAGCGAGCAAAAATCCAGTGATAGTGTCCTGCACAAACATTTGCATCATTAGTGAAAATACACCCTGGGCCAAACAAGAAAAGCCTCTAATACAAATTATTATTACTGATTTCATTTCAAGTTCATCATTCATATTGATAAATATTATTCCTCTGCATCTTTAGGAACTTTTCTTTCCTTCAAAAAAGGTACGCACAAAATTTAAAATTGTGCTCTTGCTACAGAATTCAATCTATAATCACCCACCTACCTGAACTCTTCTAATAAGAACTTTAAATAACTAAAATCATTAAAAAAAAAAGCAACAAAAAATATAATAGCGATTAAAGTTAAACAGAAAAGTAAATCCACAATCATATAGAGCGTGACAAACTGGAGGGAAAAAAACGTAATAAGACACCTCATCAGCAATCATGGCTATGAGCGATGAGTTGCTTCATGCTTGTGCGGATCTGTGGTTTGTTCGCCATTGATGAAATAAACTCCAATAACCAATAATCTGCTAAATATGATGAAACAAAGCAATAAACATATCAAATCATACTAATTCGCAGCTGAAATCCACAATGCAACATCAACGAAAAATTTAATCTAAAATTAATTAGACTTTGGCAAAAATCTCAAAATTTGGGAAATTAACACCTCACCTTCAGAAGATGCTGTTATTGAGATTGGTCGATAAGGGGAAGACTGTCTCTAATTCTTAACTTCAGGTGGGTCAATTGAAGAAGAAAGTTTGGGGATCTATGGTTCTCATTAATCGTACGGATGAAAACAAATCAATGTTTTTCAAATCCTGTCTGTGACCGGTTCAACACATTATTTGGTCAATTGTAAAATTGAACAATTAATTTTAATTTTAAAACTACATAATTTTATTTTTTTTATAAATGCCAATTGTAAAATCGAATAATAGTTTTTAATATATATGTTATTTTCTTATAAATGTCAATAGAAATAAATAATTTGTACTTTATGTTTTTATTCTTATTTATCATCACAAATGTTACCACATAAACATATACAATATTTTTTTTTATAAATATTTATCATCATAAATATTACCACATCAATTTACTTTTATAGCACTAGCATGTCTTCATAAGCAAATTAAAAGAAAAAAAATACTTGTATTACTCATTTTTCTAATTTTCTCATTCTTTGTAAGAATATTCAACTCTATTGCAAAACCTTGCCTATGTAGTGAAATCAAAACTGTACTAAGATACTATAGAGTGTATACAGTGGAAAATGCTACAATCCCGTTACGGAACCATTTCGTTGGGATTTGTAACCGTTAGATCAACTATCATTGACGGTTACTTGATGATCTAACGGTTACAAATCTCAACGGAATGATTCCGTAACGGGATTGTAGCATTTTCCGTATACCGTTTATTGTGACATAACATTTCAACATTTCATTGTAAAAATGTGCATTTTTTTCTGAATAATGCCTCCACAAAGAATCAAAAGGATACTTCTCATTCTACATATCATTAACTAAACAAAACAAAAAAAAGAANTTGTAGACTCCCCTACCCCACCCCCCCAAAACAAAAAGAAAAAGAAAAGACAACTATCAATCCAGCAAAATTTATATAGATCAAACTTTAGAGTCACCAAATTCGATCCCCAACAAGTCAAAGTTTCAATCAGAAAAAAATATGTGAGGCGATGATAACTCGTCGAGTCCTATATGAATAGTTTTCGTATCAATAAGGACTCTGCATGGCACGACACTCTCGTTTTCCCCAATCACTAGAGAACAATTATTATAAAAACCTTCTTTGGGTGGAAGATTCAACAAACACGACCTACAAGCGGACAACTTTTTCCCATCTCGTAAAACATTTTCCTCCTTCTTAACCATCATCATAAGGCGATGATTGCGCCCCAGTAATTGTGACACGTAATTCATGTCGCCATCGGCAAGCGCGAGCCGAACTCGAGTGGATGATACTTGGCCTTGCTCATTAATTGTTCCGTTATGATGACGACCAATCTCCTTGAAAAACTCTTGCTTTTTATCCATGACAGAATCTACTATAGAGGCTTTCATGCCATATTCATCGCACAATCGCACCAAATCAGACGAGTCGGCAGCAGCTTTATACCCAAAACGGTAGTGCTGACCTGTCAACATATTACATTTCAAGCTGATTCTTAAATAATTTTCTTTTTTTTGTAAAAAAAAAGTTTCATGTATCATAAAAGAATAACGGGCAACAAGGTAGAAAGTAAGGCTGTTATCGAACCAAACTGTTCGTGAACAAAGCTCGTTCGTGTTTGATAACAGCTCGTTCGTTTAGTAATCGATCCGAACTCGAACATAAAATTATGTTCGGTCAGTTATCGACCGAACACGAAAAAGTTCGCGAACTAATCGAGCGTTCGTGAACAAAAAGGTATTTTATAATTTTTTTTATATATAATATATAGTATATACATATATAATATAATATTAAATAAGGATATATATATTAAATATTAAATAAAATAACTTGTATGGTACTAAAATAAAAAAGTCAACAAACACGAACACGAACTTACAACAGTTCGCAATATAAACGAACCAACACGAACATGTCGAACCAATAAACGAACGAACACGAACGGAATTTTTTGTTCGATTATTAAACAAACTAACACGATTGAACTCGAGCTCGAAAACCTTAAGCTCGGTTCGGTTTGGTTCGATAACAGCCCTAGTAGAGCCCTAGTAGAGAGAGCTAGTGGGCATACCTGCAACAACCCCACCAACTCCAAGCTCGTCTGATAATTTCTCAACAAACTGGCATGGAGAAAGATATCGAACTTTGGAGAACTGAATGTGAAATTCCTTGGGTGTAATGTTAGGACATAGTGGAGCCCAAGATGAGAGAATTCGCTTCCGATCACATTTGGCAACTACAGGAGGCCTGCTCGGTAGTTGTCACACATAAATATGATTAGAACAGATTTAGATGCTGCTTTATTTCTCGGTTCTTTGCAAGTATTGGTTAAGAAACATCTTATTGAGATACTACAATGTCACAAAGCAATTGCAGCATGGAAATCTGAAGACAGCCTTCATATAAACCTTTATATATAACATCATTTAAAAACTTAGTAGAAAACTCAAAATTAAAAATTTCATTCCGAAACATTCTTATTTACCTTATATGATTTGGTTAACGCAATGAATTCATCTAAATTGTTGAGAACTATAGATTATGATGGATCAATAAGTGTGAGATCACGGCTGTTTTCCGGTAAATTAATCGATATTTCTTAGATAGTTGGGTTGGACAAGGAAATATTTTAAAATATAATGACCAGGAAAATTATCGATACCTGGGTTCCCACCCAAGTATTTCAGCCATTCCAACGAAGGACAATAGAAATGGAACTCCAATCTTTGCAGCTTGAATTGCAAGCTCTCTATGACCAATATGAAGGGCATCAAACTTCCACAGTGCTACTATTCCTCCTAATATGATGAAACATCAAAGAAAATCATCAATTATGACTAATGGTGATATTGAACATGCTTGTGTGAAATAATAAGTACATTTGATTGATAAGACCAGTTCTTGTTTTGAATGAAGAAAATATAAAACCACGTAGCATCAACCATTGTAAAATTGAAATAGCAATTTTTCAAATCTTATGGTTAAGTCCAGCAAAACATACCTTTTGAGAAATGAGGCAGAACAAAGTCAATCAGCTGTCACAAGGATTTTTGGAAAAAACAAAAAAAAAAACTAAGTTTGCTACTTGAAGTGGAGACAAATTAACCATCAGTATGTGCAAATTGTTTACATACATGCAAGAGTACAAGTTTGAAAAGAGTAAGAGTAATGAAATGGCTCGTGGGCCTAAAGAACCAACCTGCCAAAGGTGATATTCCTTGAGCTGGACTTCCATCATTTTCAGCTGGGTTACTCGTAGTTCAAGGAGAAAAAAGAAAAAAACAAAACTTGAGCACTTCAAATCATGTCAAAAGGCAAGATGCAAGAAACGACAGTGGAATTCATATTCCTAATAACCA